TCCATATATATATTTGTAAACAAAAACAATCACATGTACTTTTAACAAAATAATACAAACAAAATCTATGTCATAGTCTATAGTGAGAATTACGCTCTACTAAATCTGAAGCTGAATTATATCTTATTTCACTTATTTATTTGAAAAATCATTGTTTTGAGCAAATATACATTAAAAGACTATATCCATATAATCCCTGGTTTTGTAATATGGGTTCTTAGAACTATTAGTTTAGTTTAGTAGCCCTAGTTTACATGTGGTTAAAACGTTTCATTAGAACATGTTTTCAAGCACGCAGAAACACAAACACATGCACACTCACTGTGCACCGCATCCCATGCGAGCCTTTTCCTGCCACGCCACTGCTGCGACTGCTTGTTGGAGAAAGAAGCAAATGGTCAGTAAAAGCTGCAGCCTCTACATGAGCCTCCCAGGTACATTCTCCTGCCTGTGTCCAGGGATCAGCATTCACCTGATTTCGTGCATGTCACCTGCCTCCGTGTTTTAAACTTACTCTAGCATGTGTCCTCAAATTGTGCATTGCATTGCTTTGCCCATTTTCAAGCTATTTAATAACGATATCATTTACATGATATTTTTAGAAATCTTACTGTATAATGCTGATACCATTAAATAGAGCCAAACATACCCAGTACCCAAGTAATACTGGGTGTTATTGTGAATAAAGCTTGCCCAATTCACAGAAATGCGTTATAAAAATAAGGCAGCAAAGATCATAGTATGAATGGAATTGTTGGGCGGTATTTTGGTTTTCTTCAGAGATAGGGGTGCCTGAATGCCTGGTGTAGTGTGTTCCAGCAGCCTTTGGTTAAAGGGGGAAAAGCAGGTTTGTGTTGGTAGTTGAGGGCTCTTGACAATGATGCTTCTGTCCCTGTGAGCAGGTAGTTGTCGGGGTGTCCTTATGGCTTCTTTCTACACATTGGGGGGAGTTAAACATTTTTGTAAAGAAGCAGGTGATAATTAGGTTGTCTTAAGCTTTCCTTCCTCTGTATTCGGTGTTTGTGGCGACTAAGCAGTCACTCTAGTGGCGTGTTGTGCTCGGACTTTGTATGATCCACTCTTGCTACATTTCTGGCCGTGCGTGGCAGGCTGGGCGCCACGGACACGCGCCTGCCGTCCTCGGTGGGTACCGAGGGCTGCTCCATATCTGATGATTTCACGGGGCTGTTTCAGCAGTCACGGAAGGATGCGCTGTTAGTGATGGAGTCTCCAAAGTTGGCAGAAAAACAGGGAGACCCTACTGGGAATTTATATGTGCTGCAGTATTTTATGTCCAATGGGTTTGTTTTAGTCTAGTTTTTGGGTTTCAATTTTATCGGTACAGCCTGTTGGAGACAAAGTAATTGTGGGGCTGAGATACAGAAAACCCTTTCACCTACGGCTCGCGGCTGCTGTTCCCTTGATGTTTTAGTTTCATGACTCTCTCCACCGAAATGTTATGGTTGTCAGGAAATTTTTGTTTTGTTTTTGCAGTGAAGTCTTACCTAACTTCCGGTCTCATTTATCTCAGAGCGTGTGGCCAGATACCGAGCTCACTTCTCTGCAGTTCATTCCGCGGTGTTTGCGGCGATACAGTTGGCCGTTTCTTCCCTTTTCCTGTGGAATCCGAATCTCTGCTCTGAGAACAGGGCGACTGTGGGGACAGATGTGCTGCCTTGAGGAAGATGTTAATTTTTTTAATGTTTGTTTTGTTAATTATTGTGGTTAATAGAGAATAATGAAGATGGATCTTCAAATTTAGAAATTCAGAATTCGGAAAATTCCCAAAGTACCTTTCATAGTCTTTGTCAATTTTAAAAAATTTTCAAATGTTATCACTGTGAGCTTTGAAGTTTATTTTACAACTAGAAACTTCCAGTGCCGGCTTTCTCGTGAATTGAGATGTGAGGAAAAGAGAATTTAAGGCGACTGCGTGGCTCTTACTATACATTATTAATTTAAGAATTAATTAAAGAGAAAAGTAAGCCCCCAAGCCCTAGCTAAAATTCATGACAAGGAATTGATAAATACCTCTATTTCCCTCCTCGCCCAAAGGGATAAACCTTATGTTTTATATTTTTCTACAGCTTTCTATTTGTTGCTTGTTTTATTTCCTGTCATCTCATTTCGGCCTTCTACCACTGTAAAGGAAAACAGGACATAGTGCCTGGCACATAGTAGGTGTACCATAAACGTCAGCTCTCGTAACTGTTGGCGAAGCCTGTTTTCTCATGAACACACCTGTTCGGGAGAATAATACCATTTGAAGAACTAGATCTGAGTTTACATCGTGCAGACTTTTCTCCTTGTCCTTCTCCCTAAGTTGGGGGGCAGCTTCTTCTGGAAGCCTAAATCTGCCCCAGAAGGCCTTGTTTCTATTCTGTCCCATGACATGGCCCCTTTTCATACTAAAAAACAAAAATCAGCCGCTCCGTCTCGCATCCCTTTGAATCTGATTTCATTAGCTTTTCATTGCAGCCCTGGACACCACAAAGTCTATTCATTTCATATATCATCTCAGATTTGAAAAGCACATGAAAATGTTTCTCCATTTTCAATATTGCGTGAGTAATGTTCCCATTGAAAAGTAATGGAGTGAAGTTGTCACTTGTCAGCACAGTTATTAAGGAGGACGAGTCTCAGATCTTTCTCTCATAATAAAATAAATCTGTCAGAAAATCATTGCGCTCACACTTTCTCACGCCATCAAGATGGAGACTTAGACGGTGGAGCTCCTTCCATTTTCCCCAGGTCAAGGTGCTTCTGCGTGGGGCTTCCCTGGTCAAACGCCGTCACCCTTCCCGCCGATTGCCAGCTACTGGGTGGTTCACATAATGCCAATGGCGCGTCCAAGATGATTGTTTCAGGAACTTGGCAAAGAAAGCTGCTCATTATTTCCCAAATGCCAACATTTTGTCGAAAAGATATTTTCAGTCTCTCCCTTCATTATTTTTTGCGGTATTGTACACTATTTTAACTTCGAATTTTCCATTTCCTAACCATCCAGAAGCAATAAAAGCAAACCATTAACTGCACCTTGATACTAATCAAGGTGTACCGTTAAATTGCACAGCTGACTTAGTTAATAGAATTTTTTAAATCATTCAGATATTAATTAAATATATACATTTATGTAGTACGTTTCCAAATAAACATTGAGGATTCCTTTTCTTCCTCGGCTACATTAACTGCAGCTTTAGAATGGGTTTTCCTGTTGGGCGTTACTTCCTATATGGTCCATTGGTTTCTAGTAATTGAATTTTGAACCCTTTAAAAAAGAATTAAAAGATAATTTTGCAGTGGAAAAGTTGGAGAAAGTTTAGAAAATTTTCTTTAAAATGATGAGTCAGTGGAGATGAACCACTTAACAGTCCGCTTGCAGGACGTGTGTGTGTGTGTGTGTGTGTGTGTGTCTGTGTGTGTGTGTCTGTGTATGTGTGTGTGCGTGCGTGTACACACATATAGGTGGTTTCTGAATGTGCCTAGGCAGGAACTGTGCAAATGGGCAGCGCCCCCGTCTGTGAACTGCAGCCCTCACCCCAATGCCAACTTTCCTTTTGCTTTGCAGTCTCGGAAAGGGAGCGACCCAGACAAAGAAAAGAAAGGCCTGGAGAGTCGGGCGGACAGCATCGGGAGCGGCCGAGCCATCCCGATTAAACAGGTACGCTGCCCCCCCCCCCCCGCCCTCCCCCGTCGCAGGAGACACACCTCCGGTCCTCCTCGAGATGCCGCGGGCTCGCGCGCCAAGGTTTGTTTGATGTGCTCTGTTGATGAATGTAGAAGTCACTCACTTGACATCAATTAGAAGAGGTTCCTGTGTGTATTAAAATGGGATCATTAGAATAAGAAGCGGGAACAGGGACAACAGATCTAATGAAGTGCAGTCTGCCCGCCTGCAGATGGAGTGTGTTTCGAGGCTGAGCTGGCTTCAAAGGCTGCCTTTGTGGCGCGGCTTTGATTGGGCCGCTGGCCGCCGGGCGACAGGGGTGAATCGGATCCCGTGCGAGCGCCTCTCGTGATCACGGGAGTAGCCCCACGTGGCCCTAATTTGCTCTCACAGACGGACATCTGAACACCGTTGCGGGCTGGTCTGTAACAACGAGGCAATTAGTTGTGATAATCATGGCCGGTGTGTCAGCTGCGCGCTCTTGTTTGTAATTTGCTAATGAAGGAATTGTAACTTTGATTAGGTTCAGTTTCATTTAGACCTTATTATATAAAGGAACATTTACAGCTGTAATGTGGGGCCTTAATTAAACTTCCTCATTACACAACAGGACTTGAATTCAAGCATTTGTTTTGGCCTATGTTGCTAGCCTGGAATAGGTTTTCATTAGCCCTGAAACTGGGTATTAAATTACTTTATGTCGCAAGTAAAAAACACTAGAATTCACAAGTGACGTATTTTGCTGTTACATTTCCACGGAGAATAAAAATAAAGAGTTCAACCCTGCGCAGTGGCTTCTGGAAATGTCATCTTTTAGTTTGTTGAAGAACGCCGATTGATTTAGCGACATTCTGCCTGAGAAAAAGCAACGCCGTGGGCAGGCTGATGGCTCTGCCTCTTAAGGACACGGCTCAGGACCGACGAGCTGCTCGGGCTCATCTGGCTTCTCTGCTCTCTCCCGCGGGCACCTGGACTCGATAGGTGCTGACTACCCCTAAAAAGGGTAGAGTCTTTCCACAGATACAGTTAGATTATCTCGTCCATGCACATTTCACCCATTTGAGACGTAAGAATGCAGCTTTAGCAGGGGCTGGGCCATTTTGGCGTGAAGCTGTGGGAGAGGAACGGCTTTAAATAGGGCTGTGTGTCTCGAGTGAGACCAGAGGAGGAAGTCCACAGGTTTCCTGGGAAGTTGGGGAACTGGTGCAAAGACCACACCTGTTCCGGCAGCGTAGCTGAGGCTGCCGGGCGGTGAGCTTCCTACCTCCTTGCCCGCAGGTAGGTCACGCCTCTGCCAGGCGGAGGAGAGACTGGTCTGGAAGTGGTAACCAAGGCCATCCTGCCTCTGTATGAGACACGCGCTCAGATGCCGGGCCACGGATGTGTGCGTTGGCATGGGGCGTCTTCTGGAGACATTCTCCTCCCGCCATATATTTTAAAGCAAAACAACAGTAAATAAACAACTTTCCCCTTTGCAGGTGGGTGATGTTTTCCCTATAAAACTATTTCTTTACTTTAGAGGTCCGTGCACATAATTGTCTGTTCTTCCTCTGTGCACTTATTTATAACCTCTCTGCCTAAGTAATTGTAATGTATAATTTTTATGTTGCTGATGCTATTTCAACCAGAATTATAAAAATTATTAGGTTTTTTTTTCATTAAACTGGTATCAGGACACTTACTTTTTGGAATATTAAAACTTAATAATAGACTGTTTCCTTACTTCATGTCTGTTGTGGATTTGGGTGGCAGTGCCAGCATGAGCCCCTCCGTGCGAACCAGGCAGGCCCTCGGTGTAATTGAAACCTTCACTCAGTTTGTACCCTGCTCGTCTGTGGAGGGGGCTGGCTTTACAGGCTGGATTTTCAATATGTGTGCAGATTGGAGTTGACCATCAAGCGTAAAATGAGTGTTACCCAGTCCTTGGAAGCCTTTCGATTGTGAATGTTCAAAATAAGTGTATTGAAATCTAAATCATGCTCTGATTTCCCAGTGACTCCTAGGCACAGCGAGCTGCCTGTCCCCCATAATTGCTCCACCCCACCCCACGTGCAGCCCAGGCCAGCTCCTTCCTGGGTCCACACCTGGCCCATCGAAGTCCCACTGTGGCAGCCTGTTCTGGGCTCAGGTTCCTCCTCTGTAAAATGGGGAACTGGGTGACGTCTGAATTCTTTGAAACACTAAGAAGTGAAGGTTCCACAGAGAATTTTGAAATTCTAACAAAACTGGATTTTTAAATTAGTAATGTTCAGGGAACCCTCCTCAGAGCCTTTCTGCGCTTCTTGCGGATTGATGCGGGTTTATAGATGGTGGCATCGATTTACCTCGCGTCCCTGTGTGTGCTGTGCTTCTAAAGGAACGTGGATCAGTGGACATAGTCTGAATCTCTAACCCTCCTGGTGTGATGACTTCAACGTGGAAATGAGTTGAGAGGATTGCAGGGGATGGGGCCTGACAGTGTATTACCTGGCCGGCATGTTCTAGAAACTCAACAGATTTATTTGTTGACTAGATGAACAATCAAATGAGTTATTTAAGTGCTTTACATGCAACCTCCTGTTTAATCCTCAGCATTGCTGCAGTTGAAGGAAACAGCTATGTTGTCCTTGTTCTAAATCAAGACCAGAGAGGGTGAGGGGTCTAGACCAGGCAGCTTGGGAGCGACGGGGCCGGTGTTCGGACCAGCCCCCTTCACCCCAGTGGGTCTGCTCTTCCCACTGCCGTTGATGAAAAGCCTTCAGAAAGCTTAGGAAGCAAAGTTATGTGTTTTAAATTAAGTATGTGAACCCTGAAAAAATATCTTATGACCACGTAAAGAAACTTCTAAGACTGTGCCTGCAGCAACATGTTTCTCCGGGGATCCCACAGCTGTGCTCAGCTGCTCTCTGAGTGGGAGGAGTCGTTTCATTCCCACCCAGATACTGGCCACATCCATGTCCTCTGCCCCTCTCACCAGCGACAGAGGACTTTGTCTTAACGCTCGGACCATGTTAAAGACCTGGTCTGCGTGATCGAAGCCCACACGCTGGCTAGCAGACCCTTTGCCTGAAGGCAGAGGAATCGTTGCAGAACCTCACCGGCCTTCTTGGAGTTGGTAATGGCCGTGGTTTCTGGACTGTCCCCTATTTGATCACTGCAGACGGCCCCCACCCACCACAGGAGTCTTGCGATGGGTGGCTTAGGACCCAGGCAAGGCCGTCTTCAGCCCTGTCTACAGCCTCGCTCCTGTTTTTACAGACCGTGCATGTGGGTAATCTTGACCAGGTTGTACTCCATCTTCTCCCTCATTCGCTGTGGGCACCAAGGCTTCCCCCCGCGTGGGAGCTGGCCGCATCAGGATGGTCAATGACTTTATCTTTCTTTCCCCCCTAATTAAAGATCTCTCACCAAGAATATGACTCATTTCCTGTAACGTAACTTCATTTCTTGTGGACCTGGGTCCACTGTGCCTTTTTTGTCCTTCCTGGGGTCTTGGGGAGGAGATTGGTTCAGAGAGTTCTGTTTCTTTTTTTTACTAATAAGATAAGGTCTATTTGAATAAAAATTAAAAAGCAAAGCAAGAAAAATAAAAGCCAAAGGCCCGGCTCAGCGGCGAGTGGGCTTGTCACGTATTAATTTTTCATTGCTGTGGAGAGTTGTACATACATAATCACTTGATTGCAGTGGGAGTTAGGGAGCTCCTATGGTGTCATTTGCATAAATCTTGTTAAGTCAATGGCAGTTAATGAAGTACAAATGAGCCCGGAGAAGGTGACATGCAAATCGTGGGTGGCAGATGGGAGGTCTGTTTGGGGGACGGCAGCTGTGTGCTCTCCTTTCTTTCTTTCCTTTTAGCATTTTTAATCTCTATATTTGAGTGCAGATACACAGCCACGAGCCTTGGCCTCCCCCTCGCAGACTCCTGGCCGGGCAGGGCCCTCTCCTCCGGCCCTGATGCTCACACTGCGGGAACAGAGACCGTCCGGCCTCACCTGGCACTTAGAGGTCTACGCTAGAGCGTATCTGAATTTTTTAAAAACCTTGGTCAGCTTATCTTGTCATACTTGCACAACTGGAAATGTATTATTTTTATTTGATGGGGACAAACAGAAAAAGCCCCTGCTCATTAAGTCTTTTGAGACAGTGTGTTTTCTCATGAGGTTTCAGAGGGTAAAAGAGTAAGAAATGCCATCTTTGCTTTGCTGTGCTTTGGTTTGGGGGTCTCCTCTTTGACAGCCAGCTGTATTTAGCCGTTATCCTCCCCGCCCCCGACTCGTGTTGGACCACTGGGGGATGGCGCTCCCAGGGCTAGAGAGGAATGAGAAGTACCGAAAGTGTCCGGGGCTCACTGTCCACGCCAGGCTGCAGCAGAGACCCCTCCCATCAGTGCAGACCCCTCAGAAGGGGCCCCCGGGCCTGGCTCAGCTTTGACCAGGGTGTCCAGCGCTGGTGGTTTTGTGCTTAAGGATTAAAGTGCGGTTGGACTCAGACCTCTCAGAGATCCACGAGCAAAGCGTCACCTCTGCCTACAACTTTGGAAGTTTCGTATTGATTTGATCAACTGGTTGATACTTTCAGAGGAACAAGTCTCTGTTCCCCGTGGCGTGAGCCCTCATGACGGCCCTCATGACAGACTGAGGGTCCCCCTGTCTCACGAGCCACCCACTCCGTTTGGTTCTTACTGCGCGGGTGTCAGCCGAGGCACCCATTCTCAGCTCTCGGGACTGCGAGGCGCTGCCAGGGGCCGCAGGTCAGACACGCTTACTTCTGTGATTCTTAGTGGACGCACCACAGGAGCAAAGTGTCTTCATATAAAACTTTTTTTTAAAGTCTTAATTTTGGCCTTGAACCCAGATGTCATGGCCACCTCGAGAGTCAACCGGTGAGAGCCGTTATTTTTCAGCAGCCGTCCGAAGCTACAGGAACACCCTTCCCGGGCTGTGACAGGAGGAGCCAGCCGCCTGCAGCATGCCCGTCACGCCCGCCATCGGGCCTGTGGACTGGTTTTGAGGCAG